AAGTTCGATTTGCCACACAAGCGTTATGGGATGTTGATACCTGTGAAAATTACGAAAATGATAAAAGTCCACCGAATGGTTCAGTTCCTTTATTTTTTTTATTATTTTTTTTTTTGTGATCTGGTTCTGGTTATCCATCCTATCGTCTTGTTAATTGACATCGTTGAGAGTAAAACTGATGGTCTAGTCTTAACGGTGCTGTAAGGATTGTGTATAGTTGGGGTGGGGTTCTCCCAATGTTTTATTTTGACTATTATGGAAGTTACACCTAGGCTCTATTGTGTTGTAAGTTAAATTAGTGAACGATAGATTAAAGCAATGCCGACGGTTAAATATACAAAAAGGGTTGAAATTCAATGAATAACCATTTAATAACAATTCAATAATCAAATGACTCAAACTTTCAATTACAGTTCTTCCGCTGAACCCTTTAATAAGCCTATTACATCACTTGATTAGCAGTGTGAAATTGATCTCCACCTGTCCTTGATTTCTACTCATCTGGTGTATCCTTTCACTCTCTTATTCCTTCTCTCCTTCCTCCTCGACTTTTCTCCAAATTCCTTCTCCTCCTCCACTTTCTATACCACGACTACTCTTATGTTTATTTCGACTGTCTCGGCTACAGTCTCAGTTCCATCTCAAACTTTTGAAGTCTTTGGACACAATGGAACCCGAAGCTCTGTGTCCCCTAAAAGCTACCTGTGAAAACACAAGGACGGTACAATCATTTTCATTAGCCCTCTCATCTCACACTTCGCACACTACAGCCTATCATCAGATGACGGCGTTTAAATTTTGTCAGTCACGCATTCGTCACATCCAGATACCCGTAGTTCTTGCATGGTAAAACAAATATCATAATACAGCTCGGTATAAATTACTTCTTGTACATGAATCATTAAATTCCGTTACATCATTACATATTCCTAATCCCGTTATACTAAACAATATCACAATAATCAGACATTTCTTTACCTTACAACTCATACAAAATACGCAAATATTAAAATATCCATACTCTGATATATTCATACAATCATAGCAAATGTTCTTACATACTTCAACTATTCCAAATTCACAATTCAAGCATGTGTAAATTCTAACATAACGCATTGATAATATGCTCTGGTTTACTTTTAAGTACCCTAATAGCGAATTACAAAATTAATTCTGACCACAAGCTAACAATCTATATAATTCCTCCTCGCACCTAATAATTCTCTACGGAAGCTGAGGCCAATTTCTCAGATACGCATGTAAATAAAACACTACAAAGGTAATTCTACATACTAATCATCCCAGTAATTAAGGATACATACTACAAATAATTACAAGTATGATTCCGTAATATTCTACAAAAAATCTAGCAAATAACTTATTGACCCTTTTCGAAGCTTTGTCTTTCGGTAGAATCTGCCTCTAAGTTTTGACTCAAAATTACGAGTGGCTTCTTCTTGAAGTAAACCCTATTCATTCACAATCCCTCCAGCCGAATACTAAATTTTCTCTTACGAGTCTGAAGCATAAATTGAGTCGAAATTGTAATCACACCCTCTATCTCAATTCCAGATGGATATCGCTGTGAGCCGATCCAATCAAACTTAGCGAACAATGTCCCTCTCGCTGTTTTTCAACGTGGGGACGAATGAAAATATGACCCGTTAATCACGTAGATCGTCATTTGATCTTTGGACTAATCTTTTAACCTATAGGTGTGATAATTGCAAGTCTTTGTTTAGATGATGCAATCATCCTGTCTTCAATATTCGCCACGAGGAAATATTTAGACATCAAACACATGACCAATGTAATATTCCCAAGACAGGTAGATTATAGCTTATACGTGACTTTGCATATGGTGCTTAGTGAACGTGACAGGTGTGGACACGTATGTGACCTTTGAGTGTTGGACAGATTGCCTGGGTTACCAATAACTAGTGCTTCATACACTTGGCTTTAATACACGTGATTATAACGGCAGTAGGACAAAAATATCGCGTTCAAGGCGCTTTATAGCATATACCATTTTATACTTGAATCGACCACTTTCTAAAACGAGGTTTTTTTTTAAATATAAAATTGAAGGAAAACCTCCTTTTTTCACGATCTATCCATGCATTACAGAAACCAGCCAGAGACAGTCTAATGGCCACTGGAACAAACTCATCATTTCTTTGCGACCGATGCAATGATTCGTGGCTGCATAATGAGATTGTGATGTGGCGAATTTTGAAGACGTATTAAAACTTAAGGTTGAATGAATTGTGCTTTGAAGTCAAGCCATAAAGGTCTTGAGAAAGTTCACTGATTATTTCTTATTTCATCTCTGGAACATAAAATGGTCTACGTTTAATCTTCAGTAGAAACGACCGGGCTATCTTAAACGGTACAGTGACATACCAGAACTCTGACCATATCGGTTCAAAAAGGGCACATGTCAGATAATTGATTTTTCAAAGGAAAGCTAATTCCAACAGGTTCTTAGACTTCAAAATCTGATGAAAGACATGATTATTTGGAGCGCATTTTGTTAATAGTTATTTCCGATTGGTCAGGGAAACTAAGAACGTACACTTAGGAAACCAGAATTTAGGGGACCGATTTGTTAGAATTCTTTAGTCGAGAATCTGGCTTGGAAAAAGTCAGATTGACTTCGTGGGAACAATATAATTACATTTCTCTCGTTAACGAAGAAAGGTATCTGACCTTAAAAAGGAAGAAAGGCTATATGCTAGGACACGGTTGTGTGGAAGGAAACGGCATTAAGGTACGCAATTTTAGTTTCCATTTAGTATTCAGTTTCATTGTTTGGTTTGTTGCAAATGTATATATATATATATATATATATATATATATATATATATATATATATATATATATATATATATATATATATATATATATATATATATATATATATATATATATATATATATGTGTGTGTGTGTGTGTGTGTGTGTGTGTGTGCTTATGATTGATGCATGTATCGTGTATTCATTTCGTAGGACTTTGTTGATATGCTAGTATTATGCAATTCAATTCTTAATTTTGTCATTATTATTTCATTGGAAAATTGACGGATTTCATGTAATAAAATATTGAATATGCAGTATTTCATAGGAATTTATGTTAGAACTCAAAGAGTGCAAATATGCAGTATTTCCTAGGGATTTACGAATTAACCCTAATATACACATGTGTCATGTTTTTCATGTTTACATTGATTCTCTGTGTATGATGATTTTGTTATCGTGAGCTAATGAAAGTGTATATTTATATATGATTTCGCAATGTTTAAATGATCTTACAGGTTATTGGTTATTGTAGCTAGATTTAGTGGCTATTATGCCATGTGTAATTAAGCATTTATTTTGTTGAACAGTATTTTCTAGCCAACTGTAAATAAGACGTGTAATAATTTATTCTGGCATCTGCGGCTGCATTTGAAGCACGTGGTAATTCATAATCAACCGCCGCGCTGAGTGCAATGAACATCGAGCTAAGGTCATTTGTACTAATGTAACGGTACCTTACTGAAACACAGAATCTGTAAAGACAGATATTTGTAAGATCACATTATGTCATAATTATGCAGTGTGAATTGCCTTATCTGAATACGAGCATAGTTATATATCTGTACGCAAATAATTGTTGAACCATAATTAGCTCTCTTAATACTCTCATATTTAAGGAAACAGCTTTATACTCAGAGAGAGAGAGAGAGAGAGAGAGAGAGAGAGAGAGAGAGAGAGAGAGAGAGAGAGAGAGAGAGAGAGAGGAAATCCGCATCTACGAGAGGTCAGAGAGAAAGAGGAGATAAAGAAAAAAGACCTATGTGTCAAGAGAGAATCCGCATCTATGAGAGGTCAGACTAAACAGGGGTCGGAAAAAGGACAAAATCACACGCGTTAGACGTGGGAACAAGACGAGAGGAGATTGACGCCAGGTGATGCTGTCAAAAAGCGCAGATTTAACTCAAAATTTACTACTCGTAAAATGATGTAAATTGAACACTGCCACTATATTCTATGTCAATTAGTTGGATTGAACCTGAAATTTTGGCCATGTATTACTTGAAAGTGAGATTTTGGTTATGCATTAATTCATTACATTTATTTTAACAAATCTGTTGTATTAGTTGAAAGTGGAATTTTGGTTATATAATAATTGATTAAATTTCTTTTATTTATTGGAAAAGGGGGTTTGTAGCTGGTATTTTTTTTTCATTCGCTTGCACAGCTATCCATTAACGTTCCACCCATCCGTCCACACTGGGCAATAACACCGTGGGAGATCATTCCCTAGTTAACGTATGCCAAATCAATTAAGAAGGTTTTAATTTTTTTAAAATCCCCGTTTACTGGGATTAAGGTTAACTCTTGCACACAAAAGCTTCATTATTTTATTGATGTAATCTGGAGATGTTGTTGAAGTGCTATAATTAATAATAGAATCAAAATGTTGTATAATGACTTTTAAGTCTTTGATTTAAAAATAGGCCTTCCTTCTGGCGGAGTTTAGATAAAAGAAAAGACCGGTTTTTAAAACATGATTTTGGCAGAACACCTCAGCAATGTTTTTTTTAAAAAAACTTTTTGTCTTGCTTAATTTTATTCCGTTGTTGGAGATGTTTCAATTTACTCAGTCCCTTGCTCATGATCACACTTGATTCACCGGCTGATAATGTACGTTTATATTCATACGTTTATCAGATGGTAAAACGTACTGTTTATCATTTTTTTTTATATAAAAAAGTATGCTATGCTTTGAAAAAATATCTATCTATCTATCTATCTATCTATCTATCTATCTATCTATCTATCTATCTATCTATCTATCTATCTATCTATCTATCTATCTATCTATCTATCTATCTATCTATCTATCTACCTATCTATCTATCGAAGAATAATGAGGGGGCTAACGCTCGGATCATCTGCATTTTATGAGGTCCACATATAATCTCTTTAGACCTTGAGCTAGTCCCTAAAGAAACCGCTCCGGTGGCCTAGTGGTTAGAGTTTCAACCTCGGATGCGGAAGGTCGTGGGTTCGAGCCCCGGTCGAGTCATACCAAAGACTTACAAAAATGGTACTAACAGGTGCCTCGCTTGACGCTCAGCATTAAGAGGTTAGTGTTAGGACTGGTCGGCCTGGTGTCAGGATAATGTGACTGGGTGGGACATCATGCTACATGTCTGCGGCATGATGTCCCAGTGCTAGACATCACTATAAACTGCCACACTGCAGACATTGTAGTGATATGACTGAAAAATTGTTAAAAGCTACGTTAAAATCATAAACATATATAAACACAGTCCCTAAAGATGTTGGTTAGCGTAGAATCATCGTCAGTTATCTACGGTGTTCTGTTTTTATTCCACTAACTTAGTCTTGGTGGAGTCAAAGTTGGTTGTAAAATGTCAAACAGACATTGATATAATTCTTAGAATGTGGATCGATAAATATTGTAAGGAGAGTCTGGTAATATGTTTTCATGCTTAAGATCAGTTTAAAAAGGCGAAGACTGAAGACTGGCCTGCATTAACGATCTTTATGAACACCCGAATCCCACGTGTACCATGTATATGTGTGATAGCGTATTGGATATGAAATACTCGTGTTAGTGACCATCACGACATTTGTATGTGTCTCATCCGTTTTGTGTTTCTTTGTGAGTGCTTTGCTTGTAAATGCGGGCACTCGATTCCAAATACGTATGTTGGTGACCTTCAATTCACTATTTTTCCTCATCCGTTCTGTTTGTATGTGTGGATGTTTGTCTTTAAGGACGTGTGCAGGTCTGAGAGAATAGATGTTATTGATCATCACTCTGTAAGACTGCATTACTAACCATGACCTTTTTCACTACCCTCCTTATCCATTTCTTTGTATGGGTATTGCCTTCCTATGGTCAGTTTGGACCTTACTGACCTTATTTCGGACTGGAGAGACTTATTTTATTTTTAGATTTGTGTTCTTTCTTGCTCGAATGTTGTATTTATCACTGGTTTTCGTGTTGATAAAATTCCATTAATGAAAATTTATAACAAAATAATTATAATAATATAGTTCATTTTGATAACTTTTGAAGAGTAAGGGAGTTTTTTTTTCTATATCATAAATTACCATCTACTTTGTGATTAAAAAAGTCTCTAAATATAAATTAGCTTAACGAAGCTTTAAAAATCTCCAAAAAAAATAAAATAAGAACAACAATGCTTCTGTTGCTTTTACATTACAGTAAATGGTTAAGTTATCTTACAGCATACAACCCATTTTCTTGGTTCATGTCGATCTGAGAACGACTCGAATGCGGGGCAGGAAGTCATTATCTCCCTTGATCATAGGCATTTACTAGATGGGGTTAGTTGTGGTGCGTGACTTTCAAAGAAGATGGCACAAGCGCTATTCGATGCACTTGCAGGTATAAAATGCAACAAATTATAAGTTATAGCGGATCTGAAAATTCTTAAAATTATTCTTTTATAATAATTTACATGTAATATGACATTTGTAAATGTTACAAATGAAAAACATAGGTCTTACTTGTTTGTATCGACACAGTAGGTGGGTGTGACGCCATCTTGAAATTCTTAGTCGTCGGATTGTATTTTTATGGAAAATGTCATATAAAACTGATGTATTCATATTTTGAGAAGAATCCTGTCATCATTACAATGCAATAATTTTGAATTTAAATTTGGGAAATAAATTTTTCATCATCGTGTCTCAATGTTTTATTAAAAAATAGCGAGGTAAAATATCGACCGGTGTACTGTTCCTTGGTGGGGCAGCAATTTTTGGATCGGCGGAGAACAATCCTATATCGCTCAGGCGGCGAGTTCAAAAGAAATTAATATATCGATTATGACACACTTGCGAAGGACATATGTGAAAGAAACTGTTGATAATAAAAGGAATGATTTTAGTTTCTTTTGGGGCTTAAGCAACATAAGATTATTGATGGAAATTTTTTTAATTTTTATTTTAAAGGAGTATAGTCTGCTTTGCTGTTGGGATAACAGGCCAAATTTTAAATTTTATCCCAGGTTAATAAATATGATATTTTGAGAAGGTCAGAGCATCAGAACTAACAAATTGACATATAAAATATAATCTTTTTTATGGTTTTTGCTCACAGCAAGTGCAAACAACAAATTACCAGCAAAAGAAAAATTTTCTTGAAAAAAGCGAGCATTCAACAGAATATATATTGAATACAAATCTAGTAATGGAATGATTATTTTTTTTAGTTTATTAATGAATGGTCACTAGATAATATATCCAGACTGTTCTTGATGTATAATTTACAAATGTATGTGGTATATAAAAGGAAATTTTGAGGAAATTTTCCTCTGTTAATATAGAATTTGCAGCTTTAATTACTCAGAATTTACTATGAGTTTATGTCCAATCTAAAAGCCAAATTATGTGAAACGCTCATCTTTATTAATGTTTTTTACATGTGAAAATAAAAAACAAAAGTAATTGGTAACATCCACCTCCTTTAAAAAAAAAAAGCTATAACAACAATGTAACAAGACAATCTAGGTATTTATTCAACATAAATACCTACCATTATGAGAATTTTTAAAGATCAATTCATCTAAAAATATTGTTTTTATGAATTCATATGAAAATAATCTATTATCTCCTCTGAAAAGTTAAATAGAGTACTGTATATACTTTTTTTTTGTTTTTGTTTTGTTGCATTATTGCACAACTGGATTGTGCAGGTACTTTTTGTCATAACAATATGAATTGTTGTCTTAAACAGTACAAAATAATGATAATATCACAGACAAATGAAGATGTTTATGCAGGGGTTATGGATGCTGTGAGTAACCTCAAATGCTTTAAAAGTTTTTTTGTTTTAATTACTGGGGAGGAGTTTTATTCTTCTAACAGAAAACAATGACATTTCATATGAGAAGATACATGCATTAATTTGTACTAATCTTTACTACTACAGTAATTTCATATCCAAAGGTATCAAGCAGGTTTGATGCTATTTTGTAGCAGTAATAATAAAAATAACCTGCTTCATTATGGGTAGTAGTAGCAATGATATTTATATTCAGTGAGTGTATAGTTGCTACCAAGGAGTCTGGCATTTTATCAGTGAAGTACCTTTCACAAAATCACATTATATGTACTATGTATATTTATTGTATCAGATGATTTCATGTTGTCACAGATTTTGTTGTACTTTATTGATAAAACATCAGACTTCTGTGGTTGCTACCTCTGCCTGCTGCTCAAGGGAGAGAACTGACATGTATTTCCAGTTTAAGATGAGACATGGGTGGGGATGTTATAACTGTATTTCTATGAAAAGAAGATAAGTACCATAAAGCCCTTAACTCATTCCACATTTAAATATATAAATAAAACCTCTCCCACATGAAACCCTCCTGGATCCTCATTTTTTGTGGGTTTTTTTCAGGAAAATTTTCTCTGAGCCATATAAAATTCTTACCAATAAGCCAAATGGTTTCCTTTGTGCAGGTGAAGACATAATATTTTCCAGCTATTCATGAAATTATCCAGTCAAAGTTAAAAGAATGGGAGCCCTGTAATGAGGGATGCCTTATCTACAAAAATAAGATGGTGGCATTTGGCCCAACTGAAGTGCCCCCTAGTTATGTTGTTATCACTTTTTTTTTTACACAGGAATGCATACAGAAATGCAGGGAAGGTAATTTTGTTAACAGATAAACTTAATGATACAGAAGACAAGTTTGCAGATAGCTTAAAATAACATCCAAGTTCACCTTTTGTTTTAGAATTAAGTTTGTAATGGCATATTACGTCAATGCAAGTTTCAATATTGTCTTTAATAAAAGTTATACAGGTCATGTAGGCATTCAGAACCATTTCCCAAATGGGTTTCATGTGTTAGAAATTGATTGCACATACCTTTTAATGGCAATTATTCACTTTATATGGACACTCATCCATCCATATTCCTTTGGAAGGTCAGTATTTACACACCTAGAGAAATACGTCAAAATTGATACTAAATCATGACATTTTGGGAGGGTTAACCCAAGGGTGTGATCAGTATAAATCAGATTGAATGTGATGTGCTGTTATGTCATAATGAAAGCAGCAGGTGTTTGAAACACAATTCCTCATACCCTGTTTTTTGTTTTGACCAACCCAGTTTAGTACCTGGTCACCATTGTAAAGTCTATGGCGAGCAGTAATTTACATCTGGAAGGTTTTTTTTATTTTGAGGTCCAGATCATTCAATAGTCAGGATTTAACAGACTGGTTAAACTATTTTCATATGATATTTTAAAACAAAAATGGATATTTTATTTCATTTAAGTAAATGTGCCCACATGACAACATTGATGTACAGCTTAGTGATAATATTCTACTCTCTTTTATCACCTTTTGCTGCCTGTGCTATGATTTCCTTGTTTTTCACAAGTAAGCATAAAAACAAATATATAATAAAGAACACAATATAACAATTTCCTGAGCTACAATGAAAGTGCCTGTTTTTTTGATAGATAACTGACTACATGGAAGAACATTTTGATTGGCAGATTCAGACAGTGAAGGGTCATGTTGCTAGGTCACAATGGGAATAAAAATTTACATGCTCTAGCAATGATAGGTAATCAGGTCTATGCATATTGATGAGAAACAATGTTGTCACAAAGTCATGGGTGATAAATGTAGTAGGGACAGTGAGAAAACATCCAGACTGTGTAGAAATTGCCTGGTACTTGAACTACACATAGACTGGTATCTATGCCCTATCTGAATCAATGTCTGACTATTGATATCCGGTCTCTTCTTTACCACTTTGAGATCAAAGGGTAATGAAAGAAAAACCATGCAGCAATTTACCTATTTTTAAGAGTTGGAGAGATTTTCTGAAAGTAAAATTAGTTGTTGTGATAGTGTTACTGATACTTTTGTTATTTTTCATTCTTAAGCTTGTAAAAAGTTTGTAAAAGTCACTTTAAATTGTATAAATAGAGTGCAAGAGCCCAGTTAGATGAAACAGGTACCTGGTGGTCATTATAGGTACATGTCGTACATGTTCATTAC